TGTGCATGGGGGGGAGGAGGAAAGACTGCTGCTCTGGGGCTGCCTCTGCCTCCCGGCCTCGGAGGAGGCTTCTTTCCCGCAGGCCGAGGGGCCGGAGCTGGCGAGAGCGGCCGGGAGGAGGCTGGAGGGGCTGTTTCACGGTGCAGAGTTAACAAATCCATCCATCGCGGGCTGTCAAGGGAGCGGCTGGGGGCAGGGCGGCTGCCGGAGCCCCGCTGCCCTGCAGGGAGAGCGGTTGCACTGCCAAAGGCGCCCCGCTGGGCTAGCAGGCCCGGGAGCAGATTAATCAGGCACTAATTCAATTTACAACAACCACTTTTATTCAGCTCGGTGGCAAGGAATTCAAAGGGGGGAGGGGAGGGCAGGGGGAGCGGCGCTTTCCCCGGCTCCCGTTCCCCAAGCCGCGCCTTCCCCCGGACTGATTGTCACCGCCGCGGTTCGCTGTAAAAAGGGACAGATCGCGGCGTGCCAGAGCCCGGGCGAGTGAGTGACAAATGTATAGGAGCCCGCGCAACAAGGGCACCTCCGTTGGAAAAATAAAAGTGCCCTTTTAATCAAGGGGACAGGCTGAATGCAGCGGGCACGGGGACCAGCCCCGCAGCTACCGGTGACAAACGAACGGGGCGGGCACCACACCGGGGCCGGCCCGACGTGCGCTGCGGACGCTTCTGCTCTGCCCCCGGCTGGGCCCGGCCGTACGTGGCCCCGGGTGCGAAGGCCGTCCTGGAGAGCCTGGCCTGTGCAACTCTAGCGGGGTCAACCCGCTTCCTTGGCCCGGGTGGAAGCGAGAAGGCACTGGGGAGGTGTGGGCCAGCCCGCTGGCGGAGAGGGGGTCGGTCCTCTCCACCGGCCGGTGATCCCGCTTTGCACAAGTGAGAGGAAAACCTCCGCGGCCCGGGCCAGGGCTTGCGTTTGGCCTCCCCCTGCGGGAGGACGGGCCGGGAAGCCTCTCAGTTAACACCCCAAGAAACGCCCCGAGCTGCCTCGCTCCGCGGGGATTTGCTATTTCGACCCAGCGAGTCCGAGCATAAGAGTCAGCGCGAAGTGTCCGGTCCGCCGCCCCTTCGAGGAGCTCTCCTGTCCGGCAGGGACACGGGGCTTCAGCTGCCACAGGCACGGGCCGGTGTCTTCTGCATCCGCCCACGGCTCTGGGGACACACCTCGGAGCAAGGCAGCTCGGGGACCCCGCACACCTACACCTTAGACGGCTCCGATTCTCACAGGGTTCCCCACAAAACATCCCTGACAGGTGTTGTAAAAGGCTTCAGCCTTCTCTCCCGCCCCCAAAATGTCCCGTTTACCAGCCTCAGCAGGCGTTTAACTCTGTTAATGAGCCCCGAGCCAGAGCAGCATCCTCCTCCCGCGGCTCCTTCTGGGGTGGTGGACCCGGCAGGAGGGCGCTGGGCCCCGCAGTTCCCGGCCTCTCCCCGGTCTAGTGCGTTTCTCGCAGCGTCCCGGTCTCTAAGTCCGCGGCCTCTCATCGTCGAGTCTCCTGCAGGAGAGAGATGCGCACGTTAGGTGTATTAACATAATTAAAAGCAAAGGGGGAGTTTCATCCCGCAGCGGTGAAACCGCGTGTGCGTGCGCGCAGACAGACGTGCTCCCGCACCCAGAAACTCTTCTCTTTCTGCATTAAACTATTAGCCGTGATGTGTTAACAGTCGGGCGTGAGCTGTTCATTGCAGCGATAATGCAGCGCCCCGACGTCGCTTCGAGGTAATCTCCATTTGAAAGCGGCGGAATGTATTCAATTAGCCAGCAGCTAGCCGTCCCCGAGTGGGGCAGGGCAGGCAGGGCGTGGGGCGGGGTGGGGGGAGGCCCCTCGGCGCGGTCGCCTCGGGCGGCAGGGCGGGGGCCCGATCCGTCCCAGCTGGATCAGACGAAGCAGGCAGGGCCCGGGGCCTCCCGGCAGGTGCCAAACATCCCGCAGCGACCGACTCCCGGGAGGCAACGGAGGAGGCATTGTAAATCACTGGTAGAAGGGGCAACAATTCAACAAAATGCTCAGGCCAAGAGAACCGGGGCTCAGGGAAGTCCGGAGTGAAGGAAGAGTGCAGGATCTGACACCCTCTTTACAAGGGGTCACCTGCAAATTAATTATGTCCCTGGGCACATAATGATCTAGTTGGGGATGGTACTGCTTGGAGCAGGGGGTTGGACTCAGTGATTCTCAGCCTTTTTTGTACCAGGACCCATTTGTAAACATCGGTGACCAGTCCCCACACAATGTCCCTCACTCCCAACCTGCTGCCCCCAGGCCCCAGCCCCCCCCCTTTTGGGGGCGCAGGGGGTGGGTGTGTGGGGCAAAGGCTGCGTGTGTAGCCCCAAACATCTCCTTGCAGGCTGGCACTCTGACAGCGTGCAAGGGAAAAGCCACCGTTTCCCACATTTTTCTCATTTTAAAAGTTTGTTGATCCATGTTTAAAGTTTGTTCACGACCCTTTCATATACTTTTGCGACCAATTTTTGGGTCACGACCCATGGGTTGAGAAGCACTGGTGGATGACCTCCTGAGTTCTCTCCCAACCTACATTTTCTATGATTCTATGAGCAGCAAACTCCCCCTCCCCAAGCAAGGACCCAGGGACCACTGCATATAGCGCAGGGTGCGGAAGACGCATAGAGGATCTGTTCCCAGACATGGTTGTGTCCAGGGTGTGTGCGGGGTTCACGTGTCTGCTGGAAATAAAGCTGGTGACAGGGCTCTGGGAAAGCCACTTCCATGCTGGACTCTGATGCAGAGGCGAGAGGCCCTTGCAAGCCCTCAGTCCCTCCTGCAGGCACCAGGAACTTTCCATGTACAAGGTTAAACAAGTTTTTCTCTGTGGAATTTCCTACCAGATGGTTCCTATTTCGCTCATTGGGCCCCCTGGAGAAGCAGGGTTTTTTTGGTGACATCTTTTCTTGGACCAACTCTCTAGCCGGGAGGGACCGGAGGCAAACCTGCAGGCACTGAAATCTGTGCCCACTAGACAGATAAAAGATATCACCCGAAACATCCTTGCCTCCGGTACAGTTCCTGCCCCATCAGACCTACAAGGCTCCAAACCGGAGAAGGCACCTGGGATGGACACCGGGGAGCTGGGCCTCAGGGCTGAGCTCGGGCCCGAGAGCCTGAAGGGCCCTGCCAGGGAGCCCTGTCCTGTCTCAGCTACCCTGCCCCCTGCAGCGGG